TTAGAAGCGCATTTTAACGAGCCTTTCCTGATGGCACCGGCACCTCCTGGGCTCCTCTGCCCCTGGGTCTCTCCTCCGGTCAGGCCTCCATTCCCACTCACTTGCGTACGGTCCAGTGTTAAGAGTTCTTCGCAGAGTTTGGAGGCCAGACCTGAGCCTCTCAGCCTGTGGCCTCTCATTCTCACGACACTGTCTTTCTTCTTCATAGATTTGGTGGGCTTTGTGCATTTCCTGTGTAAACCATAAACCTCTGTTGGTTCCAGGATCATGAAGATCACCTCCTTCGCCTTTTTCCCCCTAAAGATTTCACCATGGACCTAAATCACCTAAGGAATTTACCACCTCCCTGACTCACCTGGAACTGGTAGTGGTGTGTGGCGTGAGGGAGGGGTCAAGGTCCCCCCCCGCGACCCCGCACCATCCATTGAGAAGAGACCCTCCGCCCCTGGACCTCAGTAGGAGGGTCTCCCTCTGCTCACCACCCCGCACCGTCTATTTGCCTGCCTTTGCATCAATACCACCCTGTCCTGATGACTGGATTTTTATAAGAGCCCTTCTCTCTTCAGCCTCGCTGCCACCGCTTCCCTGAAGCTCCTACCCTCCAGGCCAAGCCCAGTGGTCAGCGCTGAGCCCCATCCTCCACCCAGTCCATCGGCAGGCCGCCCTCCCCTGCAACTTTCCTCTTTGCTTGGCGTCCAGGCACCGTTCCTGTCCCCCCTGCCCCTGTTCTCTCCTCCGCTGGGTCCCCCTCGAATCTCTAACCTCTTAAAGTCAGGAGGCCTCCGGGGCCCGCTCGTCTGTCTGCATGTAGCTTAGAAACCGCTGCATGTGGACGACTCTCAGGTTTCTGCTCAGCTGGTGTCTCCCCACTCAAACCCCAGCCCCAGTAGCCGCTGCCACTCAGCTGGGCCACAACATGTCCCCCGGGCATCGCCCCAGCCAGACAAACACCCATAGCGGAGCTCCCGGTCCCCCTCCCCAGCCCTGCCTCCTGCATCCATGCTCATCCCAGCCAATCGCACACTGTCCCTCCAGCTACTCTGGACAGGCCTGGAGTCGGTATCAGTTCCTCTGTTCACCCCGTTTGTCCAGTCCATCAGGCAACGCTGCTGGCCCTGCCTCAAAAGTGCTTCCAGAACCCGCTGCTTCTCAGAGCATCCCTGGCCACTGCCCCAGTCCAGGCCGCCTCAGCCTCCCATCCGGATGGTCGCCCCAGCCCCCCAGAGGGTCTCCTGCCTCCAGGGCTCCCGCTCCCGTCTCTGCAGGGCAGCCAGAGTGATGCTGTTCAGAGCCTTCCAGCTCATCCCACCCAGGTCCTCTCCGTGGATGGACACCCAGGTGACCTGGCAGGGCAGCTCCTGACCCCTGACCCCGTCCCTCTTGCCCCCGCCTGTGCTCTGCTCAGTTGACTTAATCTGCTCACATGAGGCTTCGATTGCAACACCCCCTTCCTGTCACTTGCTGTCCCTCCTGCCCCCACTTCCCTGATCACGACCTCCTTCCAATGGCCCGTGTAAGTGACCCGTTTCATTTTGCGTCTGTCTCGCCTGCCTGGAGCACAAGCCCCACCAAGGCAGGGATTCTCCTCTGTTCTCGAGATTTCCCCAGCACCCAGAGCACACCTGGCACACAGTGGGTGCTCCCGTCAGGTGGGATGGACGGACGCTCAGGGTCCCAGAGGCACTGACCCGCAAGGGGCCCCGCGTAGGTCAAGGGAGTGGCTCTCATCCCTGCTCATCCCCCGACTCCCCCGGGCAGACCCTCACTGTCTGTGCCTGGGCTGTCCCTCCTTGAGCGTCAAGGGTCGGGCTGGACCGTCACTGAAGCCTGGCCCCCACCCCCAAGGAGCCAGAAACTCAGTAGCCACGCTCCGCTCCTCACTGGGCTCAGGCCTCCAGCACCCCCTCACCTGCCGTGCAGACCTGGCAGCCCCGTTCCCACCAGCCAGGGTTCTGTGTGCTACTGGTGGGGGCCCGGCCCAGCCTGGTGCCAGCCTCTGAGTCCCGGCCCACGCACTGCCTACCAGGGAGGGACCCTGAGCTCCTCTCCTGGCAGCTAACGTCGGGGCCCAAGGGGTAGCTCTTCTCCCTTCCCTTCCACCCCAGGCCTCTGCTGGCCTTTGGAAAGATGGGGAAACCAGGCGTCTCGGAGAGCTGGAGGGGGAGGGGCAGAGAAGGGAGCCATGGGCTGTGCGCATACTCGGGGCCAGCACATCCTTCGGGGCGGGGGCCGGGAGCCGGGGGCCGGGTTCTAGCGACTGTCCCACTCAACCTTCAACACTCCAGGAGGGAGCGCTGAGGTCCATGTGGGAAGGGTCTCCCCAAGAGAGTCGGGGGATGAGCAGGGATGAGAGCCACTCCCTTTGACCTACACGGGGGCCCTCGCGGGTCAGTCCCTCAGGGACCCCAAGGGTCCATCCGTCCCACAGGACTGTGGAGCACCCACTGAGTGCCAGGCGCACTCTGGGTGCTGGGGACAGCGGAGTGTCTCTTCTCTGCAGTGAACAGACAGGCAGCCTCTGCAGGGGGATGGGGGCCTCTCCACCCTTCAGACCACCAGAGGGTCCCTTCTCTGCCGCTCTCAGGGGAAAGGCAAGTCTGTCAGGCTGGCTGGGACCAGCTCTGCACACACCCCACCAGATTGGGCCAGACACAACCGTCAAACTTGGGTCAACTTTCCGGCCCCTCTGACCATCCACACTTCCTCTTGCCTGTACCCTCCAGTGGCCTCACAGGCCTGGTAAATGCTTCTGGGAGGAAGCAGCTGGCACACCCTGAGCATGTGTTTCCTTGCAAGTCTGCCTCTGAGCGCCATGGATACACACTGCCATGTCCCCGCTGGGCACCCAGACTGAGCGTGGTGACCATGGGACACCAGCTGGGACTACCTGCCACCACGTGCCACAGTCCAGCCCACCTGGTTGACTTCTCCAAGATACCAGCCTGCTGGGAGGGAGGCGATAACGTCCATTGCAAAGGTTCTGATTCTGGGCCTGCACCCAGGACACCCTTGGGCCCGAGGAGCTGCGGTCAGACTCCGAGGGCAAGGATTTTCATCTGCTTTACTACTGGCTTTAATCCTCATATTTCAGATCACACCGGGGAGCCCAGTAAACGTTTGTGGACCGGCTGGGCATGGAGGTAGGGTGAGGCAGTGGCCATCAGAATGACCAGCGCAGTAGCCAGGGTCAGGGCCCTGGTTTATTTGGTGGTTACAGAAAAGATGGGAATTCCAACTCTGCCTGCTGTGAGCCACAGAACCTCACCTTGGCCCCCTTGCCCTTGTGAAGTTTCCTCTGTTCACATCCTGCTCAAATGTCACCTCAGAGAGACCTGCCCCGCAACAGTGGTCACTTCTTGGCACATTTTCCTCTTAGCTTCCTCCTCCACCTTCTCTGAAATGACCTGTCCCAGATTCCTCTCCTCGATTAACACCTGGCCCCGCTCTGGCTAGGATGAGGACCGAGGGATGGATCTGGCCCTCTCCCTGAGCAGCCAGGGATCCTGGCAGGAAGGATGGGTGAGGAGGGCTCACTATGGCCTCTGCAGGGCCAAGCACTGGCTGGAGCAAGGGACCCCCTCTCCTACCCCTCTGATGCTGGTAAAAACCTAGCGGGAGAGGCCAGAGCTGAGACATACTTCCTTTTCCCCTTGCAGAGCATCCTTTGAGACCTGGCGCCTGTTGGGGTACGAAGGGACAGAGGAAGGAGAACTCAAGGTGACCCCGGGCAGGGCCAGGCCAGGTGCTGCTGTGGGTGCTGGGGGTGGGAGGGCTGCGGACACTTGGCGAGGGAGGATGAAGGTGGCTGGAGCCTCCAGAGAGGGTACCTGGGAGACTCCCTGGGCCATGAAAGAGTGGGAGGGAGGGGGTGCCCAGGCTGGGCGCAGGGACAGGG